TAAATATCTCAACTCATATTTTGAAAATGTTAGGAAGTGAATTTGCTGGAGTGCGTCTGTATGTCAATTTTATTAAGATCACTGGGAGCTTTTGCCCTCCACCAGGGTGGGGGACCTGTTAAGATGGTATGTCCCCAGAGGCTAATGGATCCTGGTTTTCAGAGGGCTCTGGGGGATTTTCTGGCTGAAAAGGCAGGCACTCCTGTCAAAACCCTGGTGGTGCTGTGGAACGAAGAAATGACAACCCACTCACTGCCAGATGCCTGCTCTGTTGTAGAGCTCACATGGCTCCATGGTATGCCCTGGAGCTGAGAGCAATGAAGCAACTTAGGAATTTGCTTGCAGATGGAGGGAAATTCCCAGTGATGCAGTTGCAACCTGGTGTGCTCTTGCAATCAGACATATTTGGAGGTAGTGAGAGTGGCAAAGAAACAATATTTCATTGTCTCTATTCACTCTTCTCTTCACTACCCAACAGAGCTGTTCCTGGAGATCCTGCACTTCTTGCATGCTGGCCCCAAGGACATCAACCAGGCAGTAGCAATGATATCAAAGCCCACAAATACCAGAAGAGTGTTAGTTGTGGGAACTCCCTGCCGCATAGATGGAAGCAGATGTATGCTGTAAAGACCTGTGGACTCACCAGGTATGCTGTCTCCCTGCAGGACAGATTAGAGATGCAACTAAAAGGTTGCCAAGGCTCATAAAGCCTACTGACCCATATCCCTTCCTTCTTATCCAAGCAGGAAGGAATGGCACTGTCAAGCAGAACTTAGAAGAAATCATGTCAGACTTTGAAGCTTTGGGGAAGAAGATCAAGCAACCCTGGAACCCAGTGTTCTCTCTTCCATTCTTCCAGCTCTCAGAAGAGGACTAGTCCAGGAAAGAAAAATACTCAGGGTGACTGCCTGGCTATGAATGTTGAGCCATCATGAGAATTTTGGATTCTGGGTCTATGGGCTACACTTTCTGGAAGATGGACTGCTGACAAGGGATGGGTTGCACCTTACAAGGACTAGAAAGAATGTCTTTGGTCACAGTATGAAGAAGTTTATTAGGAGAATTTTAAACTGAATCCTACAGTGGAGGTAGAAATACACTCAGGGGTCACAATGGGCAAAGTCTTAGGCACCACAACAGAGACAGCATCTCTGAGAGCATCCAATAATAGTCTTCCAAAAAATGTAGGAAGAAAGCTAGCGTATAAAGCATGCGGTCTTTGAGAAACAGATGGCAAACAGCTGGAATGAAAACACAGAGAAACACATTAAATTATGGGAACTTTTTTTTAACAACATGGCTTTTCAAAGGAATATCATTAGCTTAATTCAGGTTGGACATTATCACTATATAATGTTCAGTGAGATAAACTGAAATCAAGAAATAAACATGGGGCAGAGGGGACAACACACATTTTTTATGTACTGGCATCCTTCTAATATCGGACATGACTCCAAATGAGTAATGTGCTGTCTTTGATTTGATAAACATTTATAAGAGAAAATACAAGGACAAACTTCATTCATCTGCCAGAAAATATACTAAACCACAAACAGCTCAATCACACCCATGCCTAGGCAGAAGAAAGTCCCATTACATTTAATAGGTCTTACTTCCAGGCCTGTGGGTGCAGGGTTGCTCCTTGGCTGCAAAGATATACTCATCTGCCTGGAATTAAGTCCCAATAAACTATGGGGCTTACTTCTCAATACGCACACATACATTGCAGCCTGAGGCTATTTTGTTTTGATTCCAATGCAGCAGCTACCCACAAAAATTCTCTTCCAGCTGATCTTTGAAAGGATGTTATGCTGAACAACCAGAGGGGAAATTCATGCAGTAAAACTGCAGCGCTTCCCAGCCCTTTAACATTCTTATGGTGAGCAGTATGATTCCCCCATTTGTCAGTAAGCTGTTGTTTCCCCCCACTTGCCATTAACTGCTGCCACAATGCTGAGAAGAGCAACAAGAGACCCCCCTCTGGGTTGATGGTGGTGTCACTCCATCATCAGCTAACAGGGGGTGGTACCCCAGCAATTTGGTTAGCAGCCATTCTCTAGGACATAGTACATATCAATCATCTTGCTGACGTGTTTGGCTCGCCAGGGGGCTGGGTCCTTGAGGGCTGAGGCTTTTCTGGGTGAGGCAGACCTTTGTCCTGTACAGCTTTGGATGAAAAATATGCATGTTATGGGCTTGAGACATAGTACTGTGAACTTGATGCCAGGAAAGAGGGAATTTTGCTTTTCTGTAGCAGGAAGGAAGATAGTCCTTTCATGGGGAGTAGGGGAATGTCTCCTCTCTGGTCACCTTTCAATTACAGTTTCTAAGTTACTCAAGATCTCTTATCAGAATTGCCATGTTCTGTGTCTGTAGATGTGTCACAAATGAACAAATATAAATGAGGTGTCATCCTTTTTTAACCCCTTGGTAAGATGCAATGATATTTTCTTACATACTCAACCACACACAATGCCAGTCAGTTTTCTCTTCTTTTGTGCATTTCACTTCTGAAAATTTCCAGGATGATCAGAAAGAACAGAATCAAAGCCTGAGGATAAGGAGCATCTGGTCTGGATGTAATCCAAGGGATCCTAAACCTAGGTCCCTCTTCTTTTCTAACCTCTCCTCCCATCTTCAGAATGGAATAGTTCATCTTTATTGCTCTGGAACAACAAGTTCAATAAAAGGCAAGTCTATCCTCTTGATAGGATCAGCTGTTCAAATCCTAGCTTGAAAAGCAAGTAAGCTGATGTCCTTAATCTCGTCCTTTCATGTCAGCCACTTGCATTCATTTATCATCATCAATGCAATGGCCCGTTTAGGATTCTAATCTCTAAGGGGTGGTCAAGATTAATGGCTATTATACTGAGACTCAGGAGGTAGGTCTTGTTAAAGGTGCCAATGGACTTTTTTAAATAGATGGTTGGTAGTCAAAGTCTAGGAGTGAAATTTCCTGATTTTGGCTTGTCTTGTTCAGTTATACAGGGACCACCTAGGGACCCATTGTATGTTTTGCATTCAATAACCTCAAATAAAATAAACAAATTGGTGCAATCTGATTAACATATATGGCAATCAGGTTCAGATCTTGACCATTAGGAATTGCACAGAAGACAGAATTTAATCAGGTGTAGTTTTTGCCATCAGGGTGCAAAAATCATGCCTGGGGTTGCATCACTTATAGATACAGGATTCTTATCAGGGTCACGATTCAGCAGCCTTATCATCCTTCAGGCATATGGTCATTTCATGTAAACTGTAATTGTTTTGCTCTGCTCATTTGCATTATTTAGTGGGGTTTTATTAGTGTTATATATCTGTGGTAAATAAGAAAGGAGTTTTCACTGGAAACAGTGAGTTAGAGGGCATGTTTACTGAAAATGTATTTCAATATACAAAACATTTATTAGATAAGTGCCTAAAAACAACAATGTATTTTCATCCTTAAAGGAATAGTTCTGAAAAATATGAAACCAAACATATTATTTTGTAAATGTAGTGTTTATGTAAGAGATCAGTGATCTGAAACTAAATTTTAACAGGGGAATGGGAAATATGAATGAAAATAGAATGTAAGAACAGGAGAAAAGCCCTGCTGGATCAAACCAACAATTTAACATCCTGTTTTCCAACAGCTAACCAAATACCATAGGGAAATCCACAAACTATTTTCTCAAAGCACCTGGTATTCAAAATGCCATTGTGTTTGAACATGAAGGTTTGATTTAGTTACCACAGCTATCAATAGCTTATCCTCCATGAATATATCAACTTCCTTTTTAAATTGAGTAACCATCACATCATGTGGCCATCAATCTATAAATTAATTATACATTGTGTGGAAAAAGTACTACTATCTGTCCTGAATCTGCTGCCATTGTTTTATTGGGTAACCCTACATTTTAGTGATCTGAGACAAGAAGAAATAAGTTCCTCTATTACTGATGTCCAGCCATGAATGTAATGACTTTTGTAGAGAAAATTGGTACCATTTGTACATTAGAGTTAGAAGGTATCAGCTGGCCTGAGAAAAGAGGTACAAACTTCTTTAGAAAAATATTCACCCCAAATAAGTGTGAAGACTAAGAGACCCAGTTCACATTTCACTGTGGCAATTCCCATGCCCATAGTCCTCTGAATTTGGAGGGTTACAGGCAGCCACACATCTTCCAAGAAATTCAGCCCTCACTTCAGAACATTTAAGTACAATTCAAATAGCAGCATGGCATGCACCATGTCTTAAATCTCTTTCTAAAAGTCTTGTTTATGAAAAGCATGCATTGATTTAGAAGAAATGTGTGCAGAAGATAATCTTTTTAATCTGTTACATCTCCATTCATGACTACCATCATTCCTAAAGAGAAGTACCATAAAAGTCAGTGTGAAAACAGATTTTTTATATGTAGCTTAGAAAATATTGAGGACTTGCATCACTATTTGATAAAGGCAGACCATAAAATCTGGCTGAAAAAACATTATTACTCCCAGTTCTTGCTAGAACTCAGTTTGGGGCAATTGCACAGAAAATGTACTTTCTATCTTATGGTTTCAATGAAATATACCTAGGAGATAAATCTAATTTGGCAATACTGTTGATAGTAGTATAGTATAAGTGATTTATGTGAATACTTTATGGCAAAAGTTCCTAATACTGGCACAACTGTTGCAAAAAGTTGCAAAAAGTTTTCTGTTGTAAAACTTTTCATTTTTCCACCTGGCACAAACAGTAACATTTGTTACCTATTCACAGAATCATGAATATAGCAATGAATCAACACATTTCTATTCTTTATGAAAGTCTGTCTTGAGTAAAAGCTGTAATTTAAAACATTATTGTACAAACTACAGATCAAGTGGGCAACTTAGAAGAACTATACAAATTAACTGACAGAACTATGAATGTACAATAGCATAATGAGAAGAAGCCAGCTGATACCCAGCTCAACAGCAGTTGAGGACAATATGGCATGAATCTCATCCATAATTTCCAGCTAACAGTTCTTTATTCATTCAGTTTCCAAAACATGAGTACTACTATTCCAGTACATGTGCTTTACAAGGAAGTATTGATCAGTTTGTTGACAATTTAAAAATTATTCATTTCACAGTTATATTTATAGAAAAAGATCAGGAGAATGTAGTCAGTAAAAACAGATCTTGAACTGACAGGCTTTTCCTGACAGTTAACATTGTCCTTTTTAAGGCTCCTCCACAATCACATTGTGCTGCAACCTAGGTGTGTTGGGATTATGCTCAATTAGCCAATCAGCCAGCCAAGTCTATAGAACAAGACCAGAGAGAGAGGGGGAGGGAGAAAGAAGAAACAAGTTACTTCAAATTTCATTCCTGTATGAAGATATTTGCTAAAAGGAGGCATTCAAACTCTGTATCACTGCATACAGAAACTCACAATCCTATTTACTAACTTCCCTTAATAATTCCAATTTCTTCCACTGGTTTTATAAGGGAAGGTTCCTTCAAGGCCTTCAACCCCCCTCCCAGTGCTTTTTCCCTGTGCTTTTGAAACTGACCTGAATGGGAGATGCTCAAGATACAGTGCTCTTGGCATACAAAGGACAATTGTTTGTGGACATTCTGGCTTGATGAAGTTATGAAGTATGCAAATAAGCAAGTGCTGCTCTTCTGTTCTGCATACAATAAAGGTCATTTCTTTACAGGCAGTGGGTTTGGGAATCAGGTCCCCAAACTGGCATCAGGCTGATATTTGTTAACTAGCATTAGCAGGAGAACTCTACCACCTGATATTGGCCATTATTAATATTGTGATACATACAAAAGGATCTGCTGGCTTCTTCTTACACAGTGCTGTAAGTCCTTTCAGCAGGATAGGAGTAACATAAAGGTTCAGATAATCCTTAGCAGCTTGCCCAACTGGGATAGGTTCAATGATTACTGAAGAAAAAAAATTAAAAATTTTAAGGTAAATGTATTGATTTAAAGGTAATTCACTGACTTCTGATTCTGAACATATTCACTGTTTGTTTTCTCATAGTCAGGAGAACTTTAAACTGAAACTATTTTTTTCCCCTAGGATGCATCGCGTTATAAAAAAAAAATAACTATACCCTGTTGTTTCCAGTGGCATTCAGCAGTAAACTTATGCTATTTCTTGTCTCTAGAATTATTAGCTGGTGAAGCTACTCCATAGAAACAGACCATAAAAACTGACCTTGGGATGGTGAAATATAAAGCTACTTGAAGTTGTACTCAGTTCACTGGATAATGAAAAGATAAGGGCCTGTCCATAGGACCAACTTGTAAAAAGAAAATGTGCCGTTATTAGTAACTGCTAATATAAGAGTCAACCTTCTCCTCTGAAAAGGTCCAGATTGTATTTCCCTGCCTCATTCCTCTGACCAGCAAGTGGATTTCTGGCTTGCTTGCACACATTCCATTTCCACCCAACATCCCATATGCAGAATGTAATGATTGAATTGGAAGAGGCAAAGTTTACTTAAATAGGAAATGTCCCTGACTCAACAAGTGAAGCCCTGCTTGAAGGGGTTAGGGAGACACAATTTAGTGTATTTGTAATTGTTGTTCAGCTATTATGTTTTTGCATGAACTCACTGCTCACTTCCATTGTCACCATGTGAAGAAATATTACAGTGAACATGTCTAAACTAAAGTGGGCACCTGGTGGTTCTCTAGGTGTGTGGCCTACAGCTTCCATCATCCCTGACCCTTGGTTATGCTGATTAGGGCAGATGGCAGCTATAGCCTCCAGACTGTTTGGTTTACAAACTGTTCACCCGTGGTCTCAGTAGACCCAGAGAGCTTTTGTTATAGGTATTTTTGGCATATGAAAGAAATATGCTTTTCAGAAAACCGATTGTTTCTCTAGGAATAAATATTGATTCCTACAATTTGGTAATGCAAATTGTCATGGCCACCTACTGAATAGTGCCCAAGACATTAATGCTGATGAATGACATGAGCCTCTCAGTTTCCACGTACACATAATATATGCCATGCCTTCTTTTGTGACTTTGAAAATCTAGTTACTAAAAAAAAAAGTGTGTCCTGAGCAGTTTTGTGATCCTGCATTTACATATTTCTAAAATGTGTAACTGGCATTATTTTGATCCAAAAGTATTCTGACAGTATAAGAAATTTTAATTATATTTTAATAAGCTTTCTTCTTGAATGTATTGCAATCTAGTGGTTAACACTCATCTAGCTCCGTTTCCAAACAAAACAAAACTACAAACTCCAGCTACCCCTCCTGAATTTCATCTCCTCTGAGACAAACCCTGCTTCCTTGCAGCCTGTAATCCAGTTTATGGAAATGACATTATTACAGCATTGGCTCTGGATCCTTGGTAGCACAAACACACACAGTCCATGGATAAACTATTTATTTGTCTTCTGGAAAGGCCTTAATGTTTAAAGGAGCCATACTTTTGATTCTACACCACTGTATTGATACAGAGTAAAGCTGATTTGGGGTTATCACACAGGGATCCATATCAAAGGGAAGGATTAGCATATAAGAAAGAGAACAGTGGCTAGTGTTGGGCACATTAAAGGTCATGTGCTACTAACTGGCATATGCTTGAAAATGACTTGAATTATAGATAAATTCTGCAGTTATGTAAATAAATATGGAAGCTAGGAAAGCAGTTAGGTAATTCCAAATGAAAACATTAAAGGCTAGACGTGAAGCTATCATTACTTGCAGAAAACAGGCAGATACACTATCTATAAATGTTTAGCTCTAGGTTGGCTATAGCATTATGTTTCCATCTGCAAATAAATATGAATATCCCACACCATCTCCAATGTAAGAGCAAAACAGAACAATCAGCCACACATGGTTTATGGAATTACATTGCAACCCTATGTATGTCTATTCAGAAGCGCAATTAAACTTACTCCAGGGGATGTGGGTAGAGAAGAGCTGGGGCCTCCAGTTGGTTGGTGCAGGCCTCCAGTCCCCATCAGCCCTAGCTGGCCTGACCAATGGTATTAGATAATAAGAGCAGTAGTTCATTATCTGGAGACCCACAAGTACTCCCGCCTTGATGTGCAGGACAGCAGTCCTACAGCAAAATCCTATCCAAATCTATTCAGATGTCCCACTGAGCTCAAGTAGACCTCCTCTCAGGAAAATAGCTATAGGGTGGCAGTCCTAGTGATTCTTCTTGCCAGCTGCATTAACAACCAATTAAGGCTAGGTTAAGCAAGGTTTAAGGAGTCAAACAATCAAACTAATATATGTTCTTTACAATTGAAAGACCATGCCTCGAAAAATTCCCCAGAATCAAAAATGACAGAAAGCTTTGTGTTTTTAGAATGAAGTGGCTCCTTAATTATACCTGGTTAGTGCCTTATTTCCTAAATCACTGAAAGTGTAGACCTATGCATACCAATCCAGAGGTAAGGCTCTGTTTAAAAGAGCTTGCTGGAAGATGAATGGGCCTAAGATTGCAGTCTGAGATAAGTTAGTTTCTAGTATCTGGAACAGTGTTTCAAGAACATTTGGCAGACAAGAAGGAAATAATAGCCTAGCCAAAATCCTACTATATTCTTAGAAGATTCTGATTCATGCTGCTCCACCCAGGCTCAAAATTCTGCAGATTTAAGCTTAGATTAAAAAGCTAGACTCTATTTAAATGGGATGGCTAGAGATGGAACAGCCTTTTTCATGGTGTTACACATTCTAGATAGCAATAACATACCTTCAGGAAACATGAATCGGATTTCCCTTTCAGCTGAGGCAAAGTTGGCACTGCCATGCAGTCCATTCCTCAGATCATCTGTCCCATAGATTGCTCTTAAACTAAAAACAACAGAGACATGATAGCATACATACAATGCAATCCTATGCATGCCTGTTCTATTAAGAAAGCTCAGTGGACGTTACTACCAAATAAGGGAATATAAGATGGCAGTTTCAAGGGGCAAACATATGCATGTTTAAACAGAACAAAATCCTACAACTCCCAGCATTCCTGGAGGAAGCGTGTTGTGTATTGAGAACTTTTTCTAACTCCAATCATCCTAATATGCTTGGATGACAGCATGAGTCATTTAAATTTTAATAAGCTTTCAGTAAGTTGGGGTGTGGAGAGTAACTTTGTCTACTAACCTGAAAAAGCATAACAAAAAAGGCAGGCCACATGGCCAACAGAAGACCTATTGCCCTGCTATCCCCTACTTTCTGACCAGCTAGCACCCTATGTCTCTCCACGAACCAATCCACAGGTGATTTCTATATAAGTATGGAACAGCAGAGGCTGTAGGACTGGGAAGATGCTGGTAGAATACTGTGGTCTTCCAAATGTTGCTTGACTGCAGTTCCTATCATTTCTGCTACACTAATTCATGGAAGTTATAGTCAAATAATATCTGAGGCCACCAATTCTCTGCCATTGCTAAAAACTCTGGTAAGCAAGATATAGCATGCAGGTTTACACTGTCTAGATCTGAATGTACTATTAAGTAAACCATTGAAGAAGAACATGTGAAAATGTGGTCCCATGAATTATTTCAAACTTCATTCTCCCAATTCTATAACCATTTTGTAAAATAAAGAATACAACATTAAAAATTACTTCCATTAATTTCATCTGGGCTATGTTCAGGTAAGTGGTTTTTAAGTACTCTGAAGTAAGTTAGTTAGTTACCTGTCAGGATGTGTTTCCTTAGCTGTTATGCTACTTGAGGGCCCAAGAAGTTCCTTCCAGTATGAAATGGCTTGATGCCGAGCAAGAACCATTGCAACTAGAGGCCCAGAACTCATGTAAGCTGTCAGGTTAGGAAAGAACATTTTCCCATACTGTTCTACATAGAAGTTGCTACACTGCTCTGGGCTTAGTTGGAGCTTTCGTTTCTACAGAAAACAAGAGACAGAAAAATCTTGTTCACATCACCATACTGCATTACAAAAGCCTTACAATTTATTTTTCAACAAGCTCTCTCCAATCTTTATACAGTACAATCACTTGGTAAAATGTTAGTCACTGTGTCTTCTTCAAAGACATTGGGAGTCCTGTTTAATTTTGGAACATGCTGGAATCAAATATCTGGGGTGTTAAAGGCTAAGTTCTGTTATTCTTTCATCATGATATTGTAGGGGATAAGGCCAAGGCCACTTGTGACTAAGAGGCATTCCTATTCTGGTAAGTCAAAGCCAACAGGGGAGCTACTTCACACAAACAACTTAACCACAAGGGACAGACTTCATGCAGCTACATGAAAGACTGTGTGTCTTGTTATGGACCTGTTTGGTCATCCAGATCTGCAGGTCATTCCCTCTTGCAAAGGTCTGCTTGCTGGGCACCTGTAAAATAGTGTTTTCTTGCACTGCTCCCAAATGTGGAATGCTCTGTCTTTAAAACTGAGACTGGTGCCTCCACTTTCTGGAAAGGAATTAAGACACCCTAAATTATGAATAATGGTTTTTAATGTTTTATTGGTCTTTTAATACAGTGTTGTATTTCAGTTCTTCTATACCACCTTGGAAAGGCAGTAAATACTATAAATAAATAGTATTTATCTGGATGAACGCCAGTGTGCAGTGGAACCCAGAGTATTGGATTAGGACTTGAGAGACCCAAGTTCCAGTCTCCACTCAGTCATAAAGATAACTGGGTGAGTTTGAGCCACTCAATGACTCTCATCTGACAGGGTTGTTGTTAAGATACAGGGGAGTGGAACAGGAGGATTATTTAAGCCACCCATTTCTTTTCAGGAAAAGGGCAGAATATAAATATAATAAATAACTTGCTATGGCAGGTAATGCTTGTGCGACTCAGGCCTCTGTGAGGCAACTGGATAAGACTGTTTGGAAACATGAAGTAGGAGGCCACCAGGAAGCTGATGGTACCCAAATCTCTTTGCTGATCTCTTTTCTTCATTGGGCATCATGGGGAAATCTGTAACAGTAGTTATGGTTGGAATCTGACTATCCACACATATTCATAGGAATTAAAAATATATTGCTAACTTGGGTATTTCCACTCTTGGTGTATAATATAGTACCCTTGCCATTTCAGTTCTGCACAAGTACTTTAGTAACTGGCAGGAATTATGCCGAAAATAATTGTCTTGTGAAGGAAAGGAAGTACTGCTTGTATATAAAACTGAACCATTTTTTTAAAGTTAAAGAGAGGCCACAGCTGGGCAATAGCAGCATCTAGTGGTCACTTTCAACCATTGTACCTTCAGAACTGCCAAATTCATGTGGATGTGTCCAGAGGAGTCTTTTATGGCACCATCCCTTTGCCACACACACTTGATAAAGCTGGACATAGCCACTATCTTCTTCATGTGTTCCTCCCATATTTTCCTACTGTTTATTCCATTTTCTTCTTTACTGCTATTAATGAAAAAAAAGATGGCACAGGTGCGTAATGCCTTCTGATCACTAGTTGAAGCTGCCCCCTCCAAAAAAAATCTGGCAGCACCCATGTTTATATAGAAATGGGAATGATGGTATGTGGATGATGGAATATATTGATTTTGAATTAGTGTTTCCTTATTAGTTTTGAATTTCAGTGCTGCTAGATAAGAATGCATTGTTGTGTCTCAAATGAAAGCATTTGGTACTTGGGACTATTTGGAACACAACAACAAAACTCCCTTTGAACAGACATATACCAGCTGGCATTAGGGCTGCCTGAAAATTATCCTCTTCACAGCTATCTTTTTTATTATAGTAACTTCACAAAGTAATCTATACATTTATTCTGGACTGATTACTTTTGTATCTTGATGTTCACTCCTATCCTTCACTTTATTTATTTCAAGCACTTTAAAACCGTTTAAAATGTTACACCTCACAAAATAAACAGATATTTTGGAATATCTGGCCATGCAAAGTGAGGAAATTGTTTAGTACTCAAGTTTTCCAACTGTTTGTTTACAATTATTTAAGAACTTTAACATTAATATAAAGTAGCGCATGTCCTCCATGACAGTTGGCACATAAATTTACATTTCAGGGTGAAGAATTACCCTGCCTCCATGCACCTGCACTACTCAATGTTCACACAAAATTTATTCAGTGTGATTCTATGTGAAAACACAGACATAGATGTTATAAAGGCTGCTTAGTTGTTGAAAGGATACATTATGAAAAAGGGCAAGATCTCTTTCTTTAACCATATGCTTTAATCATTTTACTCATAGTTAGTTACAGCTTTATACTTTTTTACCTGAACAATGGTGAATCCTGATCTGAGAATTATATCTTCTATTTCTACTTCTTTGTTGACAATATCTGGTTTAATGATTGCCAGGGTTCTTTCAACATAAATCTGAGGTTCAGGCATTAACATCTGCATTTTTGCGATTAAGATTCAAGTCCTCTTCTCTCACTGAAATGAGACATTTGTTATGCCTGTTGCATTAATTGTTGATTAGGAAAACAGAAGAATATTAATCTGCCCTTTCTAAACAATGGCAGCAAGATTACATTGGAGCCTGGGCCTATCTACTGGAACCCAATCCTGTGCATATTTACTCCAACTGACAGTTTCCCTGGCACTGCCAAGCTGAAACCACGCAGCATGTCCTGGCCTCACCCACTTGCCGGAGAACCAAGGGCTGCACCCCCTCTTCCTTCCAGTTAGAACATCATAGAGGCAGCAAGGCCCAACTGGCACCGTCTCTGATCCGAAGAAGGAACAGCTGGAGGGAGTTTGCTTTGCCAGTCCCTGCCAGAAATAACACCCATAAGAACTAAGCTCTAGTGGCCAAGTTTGCTTTGCCTTCGTTTCTTTAATGTTCTGTCTTTAAGACTATATGCCTAAAGGTAGGGTCCATATTATGTAGGGGCACAATCCTATGTATGATTGGTCAGAAAGTAGTTATACAAGTTGCATCTGGAACTTGTAGTCCCTTCCTATCCGAATATGCATAGGGTTGTGTGGTAACCTACACATACAACAAACACATTTCTTCAGAAGCAAGTTGAATCAAGCAGAGAAGCGTGCTTGGGACTGCTGCTTAATGCTGCCACATAGTTGTACGGTGCTGTTCTTAACAACTGAGTAACAGGCAAATAAAATCTAGGGGGTGGTCGTTGCTCAGTCCCAGAGCTACACGCGCAAAGAAAAGCATTGTTTGCAGCTTAACCGCTGCTGGCAAAGGGCTCCTGCCCGTTCAAAGGTCCCCATGGCGCAGCCTCAGCCCTAGGAAGATTTGCTTCAAAGGAAGCCCTGGGGTGTCTCTCCTCGGTTAGCCTGCATGGTTTTACCGCCTGGCAGAGCGACCCTAGGCATGTTTTAGCCAGAGGACTTACACAAAGGCGCTTGGCGTCCACCCTTGCGCGCCGTCCGCGCCTCTTCCCTTCTTTCAGCCTAGTATGGGAAGGAGATTTCGTGGTTGCCGGTCAGTAGTGAGCTGCCCCGTTCAGAGGATGTAGCCCCCGGGCGCCGCGCTGGGAGGGCAACTTGCCCTCGCCGCCCCCGTTATGCAGACCCAGCTTTCTCTCTCCCACCCGGCAACCCCGCGACGAGCCCCCCCACCCCTCGAATTGGGTCGTCCCGCACGTTGCTTGGCAACTAGAGAAACGGCGATTGAAGCGAAGGCGGCAACTACGGCAGCCGGCAAGGCCCGCTCCGAGGCTCTTCTCTCCAACTGGAAACGGCGGTGGAGATGGGTGAGGCAAGCGCGGTTATTTCCTTCTGGTCTTACAACCTCAGCACGGGCTGAGTATATTTCGGTGTAACTCTCTAGGAGTTTATTACTGATCATCCTATCCATGTATATGGTGCTTTACAATCAAGACGAGGACAGGTCTCTACCGCGAGAGGCTTACAGTCTGCAAAGACGACAACAAAGGGAAAGGAATTCCATGCAGCTTGGGGGTGGGTGTATTGATTTTATTTCTTTGCATTTTTGTTGGAGCATGCAATAGGCAGCTTGCCGCCATCTAGATGTTTGCCCCTACAACTTCCACTATCCTTTACTATTGGCTAGCCTGACTGGGGCTGATAGGCGTTGCAGGCCAAAACATCTGGAGGCAACAGGTTTCTCACTGCTGCAGTAAAATAACAGTCTTGTGCTTGTTACTTGCCTTGTTCCTAGGCAGTGTGGCTAATCATTGTATGTTTTCCTCCATGTAAGGTTTTGATCTATTGTGAAACTTTTGTAATGTGGCCACAATTCATGTTTAATTATATTTAATAATAAGTTGAAGCACAATATCTGAACAGAATAATTTACCACAAGACATCTGTATGTCTGCCTGGAGAGGCCTTTTCTGAGAGGTTACAGGATGACTCCACTGATATTCAGAAATCTATATTTCTACTGGGCAGTCCTACCTGTCTACTCAGAAGTAAGTAGCTTTGAATTCAGTGGACTTTGCTCCAAGGTAAGTTGGTTTTACTGCTTTTTCCTGTGACACTAAACTTCCCTCTAGCACTTACCTCTCTACTGCCACGGAACTGTCAATTGTAATATCAATATCAAATGTTTTTAAAGGGACTTTAAAATGCTGAACACAAAGCAAAACAAAACACACACATCCCTAGTTCAAATGTAGCCATTTTCAAAACAGTCATGTTGCTTTCATGGATCTCAATGAATCCAAACTATTTGAGGGTATTAAAGTAATGCCAATAGGGTAAAATAAATCATACCAAGCCCTACAAATAATATGGAGAATGATTCAGACATGGCTTCTTTAATACATTGCAAACTTTTCCACTGGGAAACATTCCAATATGTTCCCACCTACAGTCAGTGGTAGATATATTTAGGTAATTTTAGACTCAGGGCTTGCTTGCTTGTTTGTTTGTTTGTTTTTACACTGCCCAATAGCAGAGACTATTTGGGCAGTTACCAAAAATTAAAAACACACAAGAAAGAGAAAAAAATTAACACGAGGCAATAAAACTATAGCAATTGCAACCAAAACAGCATAAAAGTATATCAGTGGTACAGGATGAAATGCAATATTAAAACTAAAATTATAAGGTAACTGTTAAAATACTGGGAAAATAAAAAGGGTTTCACCTGCTGCAGGAAAAAATACAGAGTAGGCTCCAGGTACACCTCTTTGAGAGCTCATTTCATAGCTGGAGTGCCATAATGGAAAAGGCTTTTCTCCAGGAGCCCGTTCTACAGGAAGTAAGGGGGGAGCTACCAGAAGAACCCCGAAAGATGACTTAAGAGTATGAGTAGGTACATATTGGACAAAGCGTTCCTTCAGATAACCTGGTCCCAAACCATTTAGGACTTTCAGTGTTAATATTAGCACTCTGAATCAGTCCCAGATTTCAGCTGGCAGCTAGTACAGCTGCAGTAGGACTGGCGTAATATGTTTTTGTGAGCCAGTCCCATTAACAACTTATTGCTCTGTTTTAGATCACTTGATGTCTGTGGACTGTTTTCAGAGGCATCCCCACGTACAGCACATTGTAGTAATCCAAATGAGAGATTATCAGAGTGTGGATTACCATAGCTAGGCTCTCTGTCTAGATAGGGTTGTAGTTGGTAGATCAGCTTAAGCTGATAAAAGGTGCTCCTTGCCATGGAGTCCGCTTGTGCCTCAAGTGACAGTTCTGATTCAGGTGCACCCCAAACTACCCCATCCAGAACAGGTTGAATATCACTCAGCTGGACAGATGAACAACCCACTAACAGCACCTCTGTCTTGCCTAGAGTGAGTCTCAGTTTGTTGGCCCTCACCCAGTCCATGACCTTGCTCAGACACTGATTCAGAGGCCACTCCCTCTCCTGGGTTTGATGAAAATGAGAGGGAGTGCTGAGTGTCATCTGCATATTGGTGGTAGCGCAGTCCATGCCTCCACATACCTCCCCCAGAAGTTTCACGGTGATGCTGAACAGCACAGGGGATAAAGTAGAACCCTGCAGTACCCCATGACACAGAGCAATAATCCCCCAGCACCACCTTCTGGTGTCAGCTGGTCAAGGAGGGGTGCAATGCAATGCGGTGCTTCACACCCCTAGCTCAGCCAGCCTGTTCAGAAGGATATCACATTGATGGTATCGAAAGCCACTGAGAGGCCCCAGAAAATCAACAGGGTCATAGTCCCACTGTCTTTCGCCCAGCAAAGTTCATCCCACAGGGTGACCAAGGCAGTTTCCATTCCAAAATCAGGCCTAAAACCTGATTGAAATGGATCTAGATAATCCGTTTCATTCAGGAGTGCCTGGAGCTGTTGAGCTGTCTCTCTCTCAAGTACCTTGCCCAGGAAGGGGATGTTGGCAACTGGCCTATAGTTGTTAACATCCTCTTGTTCCAGGTTAGTCTTTTTCAAGAGTGGCATAATTACAGCCTCTTTTAAAGAAGCTGGTACCACTCCCTTTCTCAAGGAGGCATTTATAGCCTCCTTGGCTCAAGTACAAATCCCTTTCTTAGTTCTTGTAATAAGCCATGATGGGCAAGCGTTGAGCACACAGGTGGTGGGCTGGACTTCACTAAGTACTTTGTCCATATCCTTGGGCCTCAGTAATTGAAACTAGTTCAATAATACTGAACAAGACTGTGCTCTGGATGCCTTTGTGGGTGAAACTGCATTAATTGCGGTGTCCAAGTCATTATCAATCCAAACAACTATATCTTCAAAATGCTGTGCAAATTCATCACAGTGAGTTGCTTAGGGCTTCACAATTTTCTCTGGCCCAGAGTATAGTAGGTCATGAACTACTCAGAAAACCTCTGCTGGATGACACTGAGAAGATGCAATGCTGCTGGAAGAGAACTGCTTCTTTGCCACTCTCACCACCAAAGAGTAGGCTTGCTAGTGAGCTTTAACACATGTTTGATTGGATCCAGCATGAGTTTTCCTCTACCTGCACTCTAGCCACTCTTACCTTCATTGCCCTCAACTTAGGTGTGTACCAAGAAACTGGCTGGAAGAGAGCGCTTGGGAGCAATCGTGTCAACTGCGTAGACATTCTGCATTCCACAGAGTGACCTAGGCTTTGACAGGAGTGCCAGCCATCACAGCTAAAAGCTTCCCAAAGCCCTGTGAAAATCATCAGGTTCATTAGCCTCTGGAGGCAGCAGAAATTCTTGCAAACCATAAGATTGCAGTTTTGATAGCTTACCATCTGAAATTCATCTAAATATACATTTTATACTGAACAGGAGGATCCCTTAGTAATAGTTGCCAAACAAGTGGTCCTTGCTGCCAGGAGAAACGGATTGGTGGAGACATCTCTGTTCCATAATGATCTTTATACTTCAAATTTAACTTGGCATCCAGACAGTTCATAGCTGGTTGAATACAAAGGCAAATGTATAGAACAATCCAAAAGTAAGACATACACATTTGATTGGGACTTATTTTGGAATACCACTACAGTTGCACTCTTCCTAAATGTGAATTTCTTACTACTACAGTTTGTATCACAGTGATGGACTATATCTTATTTTGGTCATGTAAGTGAAAGGGAGTCATTGACTTCTAGGAGAGAAAGTGAAGCAAATGCAGAAAGGGGCATAGATTTCCTCAAAACTGAGATCATCAGAGAGCCATTCACCTTTGTACAAAGCAACCTAAGTTATAACAATGACAGGTTGTAATCATGGGTTTCCTGATGAAAGGCTATGTAGCAGAACATGGTTACCTTACACAGAAGAAAATGCAAGCCATTTTGTATGCCATTATGGCTATACATATTTTAGAACAGGTCTTGAGAGAATTTTTCCACAAAAACGTTCCATGTCAGTTGCACCTTGCATTTTTCCTAGTATAAATTCTGTTTTCATAGAATTATAGAATAGTAGAATTGGAAAGTGTCATAAAATAGTAGAATTAAGAAGGGGTCATCCTGAATGCCTCCAGTGTGGGAGAACCAACAACCTCCCTAGGTAATTGGTTCTATTGTCAAATTGCTCTAACCCCTTACAGTTCTCTCTGATGTTCAGCCATATTCTGACTTCCTCTAATTTGAGCCTGTTATTCCATGTTGTGCACTCTGGGATGATAGAGAAGAGATCCCAAACCTCCTTTGTGTGTGAAACTTTCAAGTACTTGAAGAACAGTCTTCTCAAGCCTGCTCCTGATGCCCAGCTCTTTCAGTCTCCTCAAAGAGCTGTGTTTGTAGTCCTCTGATCATTTTTATTGCCTTCCACTGAATCTTTTCCCATTTGTCTGCATCTTTCTTAAACTGTGGTGCCCAAAATTGGAGGCACAGTACTCCAGATGAGGCCTGAGTAGAAGGGAACTAGTACTTCCATGTGATTGGGAAGTGCTACTACTATTAATTCAGCTCAAAACAGCATTTGGCTTTTTTGCAGCCAGCTAACATTGTTGTCTCATATTTAGCTTATGAATTCCAAGAACCTTCTTGTCTTTAGTATTGTTGAACCAAGTATCTTCCTTCTTGCAAGTATGTATTTAGGTTTCTTTTCCAAGATGCAGAACTTTCCTTCTGTCCCTGTTAAATTTCATTTTGTTG